GGAAATGAATATGCTCAGAAAAGCCTTTTCTCCCTGTCTCCCCCCCCAAAGGAAAGGACTGGGTTTTTTTTTCCTCTGACAGATTCTAGTTTTAAATCCTTGAATCCAACTGGGGTGGGAGGAATACTGCACATGTATTCTATGCTCTTTTCAGGTAGAATTTGTCAGACTGACACCCCCCTCAGTATTAATATGACAGTAACGCCTGGAAACCCAGACTGAGATTAGGGCCCTAAAGTGCTAGGTGCTGTACAAATACCTAGTGAGACAGTCCCTTACACGGTACTAGTTACAGTGTAACTAGACAAGGGGAGGCTGGGAAACAAGCGCAGTGATTAACCAAGGTCATGCAGCAGAGCCAGGAACAGAACTGAGGTCTCCTAGCTGCCACACCAGCACCTTATCTGCTAGGCCACCTGGAGAACACTGGCAACCTCTTGCACAGAGCTGCTGCTGGCTCCGATTGTATTCCGCTCGTGCTCTTGTGGGGGACAGACCAATGTAAACAAACTGGCAAAATGTGACTGTAAACATCAATATTTAACTGAGCAGTTGCAATAATCTGAAACCGGGACGAAAAAGCTCATCCACGTTGGGCTAATATTAAAGACTTTTAACTAAGTCGCTGATTTGGCATTTTAAAAAAACCTCTGCTCACCTTCCCCCAGAGAGTGACTCTTTGTGAGGAAGGAGGTGGCCCATGAGGAGTCATGCTGTGATGGATTTGATAGTCACCACATTCCCCTTGGTGACATCTGCAAGAGCCTGTTCTTCCAAACAGCTGAGACCCAGAAGTGGGCTCACCCACAGAGTGGGACATCTTTGGCTCAAAGTGAGTCTGATCTCACGTGCCTTGCCCACCTGGACCCCCTGGGAGTCATGAGCACCCAAGAAATTAAGACTCGGGCTTCTGGTGGTAGGCTTCTTTCACTTAGGGCTGCCTCCCTGGCATCTGTCAGTCGCAGAATGGAGAGGTGATAAATGGGACCAACATCCTCCTTTTAACAACTTTGGGTTCAGCTTTCCAACCCCTGGTCCTTGAATGGCGCCAGTTGACATTGCTACTAGGCAAATCAAAACACTGACTCATGCATTTGCTTCCCTTCAAGGTTAATGGTTTTGTTGCGTTTAAAACTCTGGTCCTGTTTTCCTCCAATCTAACCTTACACCCAATTAGCTTTGCTTAGAAATCTGTCTGCTCCCTGCCTGGCTCTCCTCTGGAGAGTCTGATTTTAATAAGACACGCCAGAGTGTCTTTTATGGCCAAAACAATGCTGTCTTGACAGCGAGTAGCACTTAGCCTATGGTTCTGTGTCTAACAGCCGCCATGGCTCACTGTCATCAGACTATAATACGTACTCTGTTGGCTCGTTGCTTCCTTCAAGACTCCCCCGTGGAAAGGACGCATGGTCGTCTCCTCTCCAGAGGATGCTCTCTGCTCTTTGGTTCCTCTTCATCTGTCTACCTTGCTGGTAGAACTGAAATTCCTTGCTGGGAAATGGGCCGGGGGGGGCACTCTGTTTCCTTGGATTGGTTCCATAACACCTGACTTAGGTGTGGCTTGTCAGGAATTCCCTAAAGAGCCCAACTGAGTGGAGATCCTCTGTGAGGAGGGGGAGATGTGCAGCCAGAGGGAAGTGCACCGACCTGATCTCCCCTTTCACGTCCAGTCTGGGTTATAAATGCCAACACTCTGTGTTTCCCCAGCGCCTTTCATGGGGCAATCTCAACACACTGCACAGCCGGGGGGAGCCTCCCAGATCAGTCAGTTTCACCCTCATTTTGCAGAAGCTTTGAATAAATGACTTGCCCAACCACTTACGGTAAATTGGCTGCAGACCTGAGAAGAGAACCCAGCGTCCGTGAGCGTCAGCCATGTGCCCACCCCATCGCTCGCGTTGAAAAGACTCTGTATCCCCAGAGCTACCTGAGTGCTGTGACTGGTCCTGCTGCTTGTGCCCAGATGTCAGGGGCTCGGAATGGTTGATTGCACCCCGGCACTGGGAGGGAAAAAGGCTAAATTTAAGGGTAATTACAAGAGGCTGCTTAAGTTTCCAGTGAGGAGAATAAAAGGCTCTGGCTGCAGAGAATGGACAGAAAAGGTCCAGTGGGAGGTAACGAATCCAAGTGTTTCTGTCGCACTAACCGAGGAATCGCTCACTACACAGCAAATGGCACTTGCTTCCTTTGATCCTTGGTGCAGTGTTAATGTCTCAGCTTCCTTATTCCAGCTCTGCGCTAGTTTTAATCTCTGCTCCCCAGAAGCGTTGGTCTGTTCTCTGCACAGTCTCGGGATGTTGCGCTCTGTTCTTAGAAGCTCCTAGTCAACCTGGAAGGTGGGGTTGGGGGGAGGGGGAGTAATGGGGATTTGGAGAAGAGCAACAAAAACGATTGAGGGGCTGGCTAATGGGGCTAGAATTCAAGGAGCCGAAGAGGGCTAGCATAACCAAATGACCAGGGCGTGGGTGAGGGAATCATTTTGGGTGGCTCCAGGCTGTTTTCATCCTTATCCCTTGTGACATGTAGGCTGACTACCAAGGAGGTGGGAGCGTGTGGGTCCCTAGCAGAGATCAGGGTCTTGAGTCTTTTTCTTTGTGGGAATTTTCCCTTACTCCACAGGCCCCTGCTCTCCAGGTGCGCTCAGCGGTTGGGGTCTGGACTCCCCTCTCTGGGATTGGCAGCCTTCTCCGAGCAGAGCTTGTACCTCCTAAGCAGGGTTGATCTGTTTACAGGGCTTTGGAGAGTGACAGTGGCCATGATTAATTACTTGGAAATCCCTGCGCTGCCCAGCCCCTCGCTGGTCCCTCTTGCACAGCGGGCAGGGGGATGGCAAATGGCACATGAGCATCCCTGCTGGCTCACCAGACGCAGGCCTAAAGGCAAGTGGTTAATGGGGAGGGGACATGGAATTAATTCAATGGCCTTCTGTCCTGTGATCTCGTGTCTCTTTGACTCCCTGGTGCCCGCAGAACCCTGCTTCTTGGGCTTGGCTGTGCAGATTTGATTGTTAATAGGCTGCCAATTAATATTCAGACGAGGGGGTGGAATGATCATGGGGTTGCTGCTGCCAGTTTGCTCTGGAGCTATGTTACGCCTGTGCTTGGCCTCTAATGACTGTCCTTACCCAGCGCTCCTCTCCTCCTGGCGCCCACAGAACTGGCCTTATTTGTATTGCCATGTAGTGCCTGGAGCCGGAGCGGCTACAAGGATGCTTGTGAGGCTGACTTGGAATTGCTCAGGGGAGTGAATTCCCAGGATGGGGACCATGGAGCAAGCGAGGGGCTAAAGCCACTGCAGGGGCTGTCTTGTCTTAGGCATGATGGCTAAGGGCTTGTCTCCATGGCAGGGTTAGCTCGCGTGTTGCCCTAAACTTCACCCCCCCCCATTCACCCCCAGAAATCTCTAGCTCCAATTAAGTGGTGCTTTAAGCTCAAGCCAGCCGGCCCGTCAGGGGGTGGGGCGAAGCTTGAGTGTGGATTTGATGAGTGGTGCAGTGGGGGGACCCAGCTACAGGCTACAAACTCCAGTTAGTAGCCCTGTGCCGTGCGGTGCGGCCTCTGTCTCCTGAGCTGGGCCGAGTGGTGTGATGGAGCGAAAGGGTGTGATGGAGCCAGGCTAGGACGAACCAGCGCTGAGGGCTGTATTGGTTTGCTCGTGGCGATGGGGCTGAGCTGTGTCCCTCCGCTGCAGTGCCAGTGGCTAATGTTTGCATGGTCTCTTCCTTAGTGTAGACAGGACCTGAGAGTCCTAAAGCCAGGCCCCCCTGATGTGCGGTTTAGGAGGAAGCACTGTCCTCACTAGGTTATTCAGAGCGCTAAATGCTATCCCCCTCCTAACTGGACCCAGCAGCCAGGGCAGTGATCGGTGCTTCGCCACTGGGCATTGACAGCTGCTCTCTTGGCAGCTGCATCGTGCACCAGCTCCAACTTCGGGGTGAGCTTTGGGGGCAGGCATCTGGAGGGGGGTCTAGAGAGCATGGGGGGGCCGTTGGTGAGGGCTGCACTGAAGAGACAGAATCTCACTCTTCTGGCCGCCTTTAGGTGAGGTGCCATGGGCCGGCTCTGCCTCCAATGGGGCCAGCCCTTTGGGTGAAAGGCAGGAGATGCCCTCGGTGGTCTGGGCTGAGAGGTATGGAAAGGATCATTTCCCCCTCCCCTGTGCATCAGCGCTTCTCCAATCTTCCCCCTGCCCTCCTGGTGTTTAGACCAGTCCAGCAAAATCTCTGCCTTAGCTACTTGCAACTTAGCTACTTGCAAGGATGATTCATGCTCCTCCCACCTCCGTGCAGAAACCTCCCCCAGCAGCAGCTGCTCGAGCTGAGCAAACGCTTTCTCTTTTCTGCAGTGGAGCCGATGAGGGAACCTGGCAGCATCCATGGGCCTGTGGTGGGTCGTTGTGGGATGACTGCTCGGTGCGCTGGCTACTGCAGGTGCAGCTTTCGTGACTGGGAAGGAGACGGACAGTGTCTCCAGGGCTGCCTAGGGGGACGGGAGCTTTCTGACTCCATGGGGCAGTGAGGTCTAAATGGGCTCAGCGGGGTCGTTTCCTGCCATGGCTGTGTTGGGGGGCATGGTTCCGACTCAGGCAATATTCCTTCAGGTACAGTCGTATTTGAGTGAATCCTGACTTGCTATATCTAGCCCCAAACACTGTAGAGCCCCACTGTGCTAGGCGCTGTACAAAACCAGAACGCTGCGCAGGATGCTAACCAGCTCCTGGGTGGGGCAGTATCTGAGTGGCACGGCTAGTGCCGAGTGCTTTGCGGGGCTGGTTTAGATGGGGGAGTTGTAGCATTTAAGGTCAGAAGAGACCATTCTATCATCTGGACTGACCTCCTGTAGAACAGGCCAGAGCATTTCACCCAGTATGTCCAGTATTGAGTCCCCGATGGGTGCTCATAGCTGGGGAAGAAGCTGAGCTACCCACCCGTGAAGGGTGCTGGTAGTTGGGAGAGGGACTGACCAGATCTGCCTCTCATCTCTTTGGCTCCTGGGGCCCAGATTAAGGCTGTGAAGTGACCATGGGGAAGCAGAATAGCAAACTGCGTCCAGAGATGCTCCAGGACCTGCGGGAGAACACTGAGTTCTCGGATCTGGAGCTGCAGGAGTGGTACAAGGGCTTCCTCAAGGACTGTCCCACCGGCATCCTGAACGTGGAGGAGTTCAAGAAGATCTATGCCAACTTCTTCCCCTACGGCGACGCCTCCAAGTTTGCCGAACACGTCTTCCGCACTTTTGACACCAACGGGGATGGCACGATCGACTTCCGAGAGTTCATCATCGCCCTGAGCGTCACCTCCCGGGGCAAACTGGAGCAGAAGCTCATGTGGGCCTTCAGCATGTATGACCTGGATGGTAACGGCTATATCAGCCGGGAGGAGATGCTGGAGATCGTGCAGGTAACACAACCCCCCCCCTTCCCCAATTCCCTCTTCCCTTGGCCGTGTGGCTTCCTTGTGCCTGGGCTTCAGCTGGATGAGCTTGCAGTATTGCCCTGCCTACGAGCCTGATCCAAAGCCCATTACAGTCAAGGGAAAGATGCCCCTTGATGTCAATGGGCTTTGGATCAGGGACTCAGCTAGCTGAGACCCAGGCATCCACGTAGGCCCCTTGCACTAGGACATGCCCCATAGGGAATAATCCTGCATTCTGCCCAGGGAGACGGGACTAGCTTGAATGGGGCCAGTCCTCCAGAGCCATGCACCCTGACTAGTCATACGCCCCAGCTCAGAAGGGCGAGTGTATCTCCTCCACCCTGCCATAGTGTCAGCAACCAGCCAGGGTGCAGTGCAGCTGGGAATTGGATCAGATAGGTTCTGTTTGTCCCAGGGGCTAGCACTGCTTAGAGGGCTAATGCAGGCATGTGTCTGTCAGCCATGGGGATGCAGGGACCAGGTGGGATTCAGTGGCTGGAGGATAATGACATTTGGGAGGATGGAGGGGTGGGGGCTGGATTTTGTAAGGAGGAGCAGATTCCCTTCACAGGCTTGTCTTCCCAGGGAATGGTGGGGTGTGTACGTACTTGCTTTAACAAGGGCAGGGCTGGGCTCCACAAGGCATGTCCTGAAAAAGCTTGTGTTTCCTGATCTCCTGCTTTGGTCTGCCGGCCCCCTCCTCAGCCTGTGTCCCAGCCTCTCTCCTCTGAGCAGTGATGCTGAGTGGGGCAAGAGCAGACCGAAGGGTTGAATTTAATGGGGGTTAGAGGGTGCGGGATGGTGAGCCGGACAGATTAGCAGAGGGCAGAGTGTGAGGTGACTGCCCGTCACGGGTCTCTTGCCTGGCTCTGAGGAGCAGCCTTCTGGCAGGGCTAGGAGAAGGTCACGCTGTCCAGCCCCCCCAAGCTGTGCCCTCTGCAGGTGGAGGCTGCTCAAAGTCTCCCTTCTCTGATGAAAAGCCAGGATGCTGCCTGTCAGTGGCATCCGCTTTCCACAGAAACAAAGAGTGTTGCAACCAAAGCAAGGGACCGGCCTCTCACCCAAACTGGTCTCTGCTGCTTTAGGTCCCGGGCGAAGGGATTTAAAATCTGCCCTAGGAGCGCAGGAGTTGGTACGTTGACAGCGAAAACTCCCGTGCCTGTGGGGGAACCGTGGCTTTGAATCCAGGGTCGAAGCTAATGGCTGACTCCGTTTTCCCACTGAGATGCAGGAAGGATCAAGCTGGTCCTGGCAGGGCTTAATGCACTCACTGCCACGAGCCAGGTGGGAGCGCGGCAGGACGCAGGAGCCCAGGACACTCATTGATTGGGGGGCTGGGGAGAAGTGAAGCATCTGAAAGCCAGAGCCCTTTATACTGAGTCTCTCCTCTGCAAATCAAAGCCTTGCAGGGCCCAAGGCAAGGAGTAACTGGAACGGGGGAGCAGGGACGGAAATGGGCTTCTTGGCTAGGGGATTTGGCATTCGGGAGCCCCAGTGCATATGTCTCTAGGGGAGAGAGGAGACCCAGTTGTGCTCCACTGTCTGAGCATAGGAGACCTGACATGAGGGGCTGCGGTACCCTGTGCACGAACCACTGCAGGGAGTATAGTCGGCGGTCTTGTCCCAGTGTCAGATGGACACAGAGGTCTGTTCAGAGGGGCACTGTCTGTCTGCTTCCCATCATCCTAGGAGCAGCCCTGGGCGGGTCTGCCCTTTCCAACAGCAGGAGCCATTAGCTTGCCCACCTGTGCTGGGTAACCCAGCCCGGGTCATGGGGATGCTGCCCCTCATGTGAGCCAAGGTCCCGCAGGGGAACTAGCAGGAGCCCTCCCTAGCTCCTCTATGCCCTCTGCAGGTGATAGTTGGTTAGCGCAGGGTGTTTTCACCGTAAATCGAGCTGCTGGGGCCAGCCCCCTCCACTCTTCACAAGTGCAGCCAGGCGCGAACTACAGTTGCCCTGCTAGGAAACAGACTGGCAGTTGGGCCCCATTCACCAGATCATCCCAGTGTCCATCTGTGGCCTTGTACGAGGGGCCGCTTCTGATGTGGGACGTCCTGATTGGCTGGGGGTGCAAGCTCCCATCTGTGTTGTAAACAGGAGAAAAGAGCAACTCCCCTGAAGAGCCACGCCAGGGATGTAACACATGCCCTCTGCAGAGCACGCCATGACCAGGTGTCCAAAGGGCAGCCAGGGATGGCCCTGGGGGAGAGGGAGAGATGGGCTGACTTAGTCTAGGCTCGGTGGCATGGGGGGGGGGGCATGGGGAGCGGAGGGTGTGCTCGCCAGCACATCACTACCCTTGTCCTAGGGCTGCGTCAGCTTTGGAATTAACCACACAGCCCCGGCACTCTGAATCTTAGTTACAGATGCCTTCCTGGAGCAGCCGGGCCCCACCGGAGGAAGTGACCCAGTAGCTATTACACTGATCTTGTTTAATCAAGTCTGCTCCATTGTATTTCCCTGCTGATGTGCCGGGAGTTGATGCGGCTAACAGGCTTATTCCACTGGGTTGTTTTTTTTTTTAAATGACGCTTATTCTCCAACGTAAAACCAAAACCTGTTTGCAAAGGCAGGTGCACAAGCCCTCTCTGCCTCAGCGCCGGGTCTTCTAAGTGGCTTTTGCAGCTACTCCACCTGGGTCTCACCCGCAGCACCCAAGGCCCTTACAGGTTTGAGTCGTCAGAGGTCACGACTCCCCATCTGTCCTCTTCTCCCTCCCCTAGGCCATCTACAAAATGGTTTCCTCGGTGATGAAGATGCCTGAGGATGAATCAACTCCAGAGAAGAGAACGGAAAAAATCTTCCGACAGATGGATACTAATAATGATGGTAAATGAGAGGAGATGGAGGGAGATTAAGGAAAGGTCTCATTGCTAAATCCAGTGGTCTTAGGATCAGAGACATGCAAACTGATTAAATGCATCATTTTCGTTTAGCGTGGGGGGGGTGGGAAATCACAGCATTGTGGGGGGGGGGGAGAGACTGACAGGGCTGCTCTCCTGTGGCCATGCCATGATATAGCAAGGGCTGCTGTGGGCCTAGGGCCCTAGGTCCTTGGAGGGGCTAAGCCCAAGCCAGCGGGCTTGATGGTGTTTAAAGCAAAACCAAGAGTGGCATCAGAAAGTGCCCCCCCTCCCCCCGCGCACACCTACAGTTCCTGGGCCCTGCAGTTAAGGCTGGAGGCTATTTGGACAGGTGGTCCAGTGGTTAGGGCACCAGGGTGCAGCTGGGGGGGGCAATGCTCTGCTTCGCCACTGATTCCATCACCCGGGGAAAGTCCCTTAATTTCTCTGTGCCTCAGTTGCCCAATGGGGATAATAGCCATGCCCTGCCTCACGGGGGGCCGTGAAGACAAAGACCGTAAGGAGAAATACAGCAGCCTGCTCCTGGCCCCTAAGCTCAGTCCATCCAACTTTCCACTGCCAAGCCAGCCCAGGCGGGAGAGAACAGGGCATGGGAAGATATCTGGTGTCCACCATCTGGGGCTGTTGTCCCCTTAATCGCAGTCAGTCCAGTAAACTCTGCCCCAGGCAAGGCACTCCTGTAGGAACAGCAGCTGCACCCTCAGCAGCCTCACTGCTCTGGGGGCGCGGGTCCCGTTCCCAGCCGCCAGGAGAATTATTTCACGTGGTAGGGACCTGAGCAGCCCTTTCCCAGACAGTCTCCCCTCCTGCAGTGCGGGGGGGCGCCCCATAGCTATAGAGCTGCAGTAGAGAGAGGGCAATTACGCTAAGTCGTGCTTTCTTGACTCCGGGGTTGCAACCCAGCCCCCCCTGTATTGCTAGGTTGTGGAGGGGGCTGGTCCTGGTCTGGAAAGGGGCAAGCTGACCCAGCTGTGGACGCACCAGGCCCTTTCTTCTCTCCTTTCCCCAGGCAAACTCTCTCTGGAAGAGTTCATCAAAGGTGCCAAGAGCGACCCCTCGATCGTGCGGCTGCTGCAGTGCGACCCCAGCAGCGCCTCGCAGTTCTGAGCCCTCCCGAGGGGAGTGGGGGATGGGACCCATCCTCTCCCGAGAGCACTGCCAAGACACCTGACCTCACAAAATCCCCGGCTCCGCCACAGAGGCCAGCTTCCCATAATCCTCTGGGTGAACGGACATGGTCCCATGAAACGACAGCACGGCCCCTGTTTTCTCAACTCATCCACTCTGCTTCCCTCACGCCGAGTCCGTAGCCACGGCCTCGGGAACGTTCAGCTGGTTCTGGGGCTCCCGGGGCGGGTGGGAGGCGGACAGAACAGGACCTAGCTGGAAACCACCTTCACGACGCCTGTGGGCTGGAGCACAGGGCCAGGCTCAGCATTGTCCTCCGGGGGTCCCTGGGAGGTGGGGCCAGGCTCAGCATTGTCCTCGGGGGGGGGGTCCTGGTCTCCCTGCTCAGGGTCTCTGCCTTGTGAGGTTGCACAATGCAGCTGGGCCTTTCCATCGCTGTATGGGAAGTGGCAGCAGGGAGAGAGAAATAGCTGCCCCTCCTTTAAGCTTCTGCTCCTCCACAGGGGGAAGGAGGAGCTGCTAATCTCAGCCCACAACCCATCAGCTGCACTAGCTGCCTGTGGTACCCCGAAGGGGGTGTGTGTCTAAGCTCACCGTCTCCCCTCCCCCCAGCAGGGACACAGGCAGATGCTCTTACCCCTTCATTGCCCCCCAACTGCCGGTCCTGCAAAATGGGAGGGATGCAGCTGCTGCAGGGCCAGCATGTAGCTGTAACGAAGGGCCACTTCCCTGGCTGGGTGAGGCTGCGCTCCAGGCTGCCTATGCGGGTTTCCCTGAGGACTGACTGGTGCTTTGGGGGGCACGACCCCTGGGCCCACTCGTAGGGGAGCAGAGGGGGCCCGCGCCCTCCCTTCTCGAGATGGTTGCCATAGGTGAAGCTAGAGGGAATAGGCTGGTGTCTCTGCAGCTAGTAGAGACTGGGGGGTGGGATCCTTGGGCTAGGTCTGCAGGAGGCTCCTCCTAGGAGCAGGAACAGAGCTAGGTATTTCCCCATGCAGCTCGGGAGAGGCTATCCAGACCGAACACTTCCCTCTCTTCTAGCTTCTGCCAGGATTTTCCATGGAGTCAGCCCCAAAAGCTTAGCAGCGAGCGCCAGAGCAAGCCAAGCCCCCGGCTTCTGCCAACCCCGGTGCACAGCAGGGGCCAGGGACTTTCTTCAGGCCGCTGTTTAAAGACAAGCCGGTCAAGAGCGCACACGCCAGGTGAGCGCGAGCCCAGCCCTGGGGCCACACAGAGGCTAAAGTTGGGGGCTCCTGGAAGAAGCTTGAGGGGGAAAGGTAGGTCAGCAAGGGGAGGGGCTCTGGCTGCACCCCCAGAGACTGAAGGGGGCGGGGGGAGTAATCAGCCTGCACAGGGGACTTGCTCTCACAGCTGGTGTCTGAAGGGGAGTTAAGCAAAATTAATTCCCAACAGGGCTAGGGGTGCCAAAGCCCAGCTGGGGGCAGGGGGGAGAGGTGCCAGAATGTGGCCATGGCAAAGCCTCTCTTACTGAGCCAGAAGTTGGACTTCCTGCCCTCTCCCCCAGTGGCCGTATAGAGTAGGACACCACCCCTGACAGTGTCCTGGTGGAAGGGGATGTGCCCATCTCTACAGCCTGCCCCAGCTGGAAGGCAGGGGCTGAGTAAGGCCCGGGGGGAGGAGAGACAGTGGTAGCAGCCTCAGCCCTTGGGCTGCCCCCCCACCTCCCAGCTGATTGTAGCCTCCCCCACTTAGCACAGACGGGGAGCAGCCCTGAGGACCCCAGCGCACACATTAAAGGCCACTGCTGTCTGTCACATAATTTTGTTCATCAGTATTTCGTTTTGGCTGCACACAGATCCCCTTGGCAAGGGGAAGGAGGGCTCAGCAGGGCCACCCCCACTTCACACAGAGGCAGAAGCCCCGCGTCACAGGCGGGGCTCTGTCAGCACAGACCGCCCCCCTCCCCCCCAACCCTGCCAACTGTCTCAGCCCAGGTTGTGGAGATCAACGTGTCCCGGTGTGCTCACGCACCATTCAAAGCAGACGCTCGCTCGTCCCATCCAGTAACGAAGGGAGTGCATGGGGTGGGGGTGGGGTTGCTTTTGTTCTTTTAATATCTTCAGAATAAAGTTTTGTCTCCGTGCAGCTGCTTGTGGGATGATGTCAGACCTAGGCATGCCCAGAACGAGATTTCGTCTCTCCCTGGCTGGGGGAAGCCAGTTTACATCCAACAACTCCCAGCCCCTTCCTCACTCGCTCCCTGCAGCCGAGCAAGCAGGAGAGGGCCAGGAGATTAAGGCAGCAGGTGGAAGATCCCCTCCCCTCATTACAGCAATGGGTCTGAGCAACAGCACTGCCCCGGGGAGGAGGCTGGGATGGCAGAATCCCATGAGGCCAGTGCAGCATATGGGAGAACAATGGTGGAAGGAAGGCAATCCACTGAGGTTGCTGGGACAGCAAAGCCTGGTTGGGGGCAGGTCCATGCGGTTGATGCACGAGCGGAGGCTTGGACCCGCGGTGCCAGGGGGCTCCTCGGGCCTGTTCAGAGCCACACAGTCTCCACTCTGCCCTGCCTCAGGAGGACACGGCCCTCACTGGCTTCTCGATTCTCCACTGGGACGAGCTGCAACGTGACCTTGAAACGAGACGGGAAGCGAGTGTGAAACCAGAGTAGCCGGGCATTCGAGCACCCCTCAAAGCAAGACACCGAGCCACAGGGCTAAGAGACAGGCCGCAGAGCTTGAGGGATCAGGCAACACTCCATGCGTATCGACTCCGAGACCCAGCCTGTGTCCTTTGCACAGGGCATCCCTAGTTACACACATCAGACAGAGTCAGGCTCTAGCTCGGCCTTTGGATCCTGGTTTCTAACGGAGGTGGGATCCCCAGTTTCCATTTGGGGGCCAGCAGGGCTTTGGCACCCAGGCAAAGCTGCCCAAACACAGCAGCCGCATTGAGGAAACGCTCTGTATCAACACAGCGGCTGAAAGTCCTGGGAAGAGCTTCACAGAACGATCCCCTCTGATGGCCAAGGCCGTAAGTGCTGGGGTGGGAGGAGCTTTGGGATCAATTTGCTACATGGGCAACAGGTCTGACAAGGAGTGAGCCTGGCCCACGGCAGAGCTGGAGGGGCCCGACACAATAGCCAACCGGCACCTCCCAGCACTGGGAGCTGAAGGACAGGGTCACTGGTATCACAAAGGTACGCCTGATCCAGCTGCTCTGACCACCACACTGGCCAATGGGCGGGACGGAGCCAGCCACTTGGGGCCAGATCCTGCGCTGTTACAGCAGCCCCATTGACAGCACTGGGAGCGAGCTGAGAACCTGCCTTCATCTCCCCCTGTGCAAAGCCCAGAGAGCAGAAGCAAACCCGGGGATTCAGCCAAAGGGAGCGGCTACAAATAGGACATTGTGAATCCAGCCCCACAGCCCTTAGAAGGGAGATACCAGGGGCTCCAGAGCCGGGGTGAGGAGACCAGGCATGCCAGGGTTACCTTTTTCTTGCGGGTCCCCCGACACAGTTTCAGGTTGAGGAGAGTGAGGGTGAGCAGGAAGCACCGGATGCTGAAGATGATCTCCACCACGTCGAGTATCAGCGACATGGTCCAGAGGGACAGCGAGGAGCTCTGCGGAGAGGAGTGGGTCAGGAGATCTCTTGGGGCCTGAGCCAAACCCACCAAAGCCAATGGGAGCTGTCCCATTGACCCCCACCTTCCCAAAGGCCTGATCCAAAGACAGGCACGCTGGGGTTAGCACTGGGTTCAACGCCCAGCCCTGCCGCTGACTCACTGTGCGACCTCAGGCAGGTCATTTCCCCTCCCTCCACCGTGCCTCAGTCTCCCCCTCTTTAAAGCAAGGATGATACTTCCTCTATCCCGGGGCTGCTGGGACATTTAATGCACGAGGGTCTACAGCCCTCTGAGGTCCCCAGATGGAAGGTGCACAGGGGTGGTGGTATTAGGAGCAGCAACATGATCAGAGCCTTTAAGGCCAGAAGGAACCATTAGATCATCCAGGTGGACCTGGCCAGTCATTTTCACCCAGAGGCCCCTATATTAAGCCCACATACTTTAGGCAGACTAACATTTCAGGAGACTGAACTGCACGCTGCAGGGAAAGCATGGGAGAGTCCCCAGTGCACCCTCCGCTCAAGGCCCCTGCTATGGGATCCCAGCAAGTGAACCACGCCCCCATGCTGCAGAGGAAGGCCAAAAAAAAAAATCCCTGAAACCGCATAAACACCCCGTATTCCACCCCCAAGGTCCCAGCTGCAGCAGTAGCTTCTGCCCTTGCTGAGTAGGAGCCAGGGGCATTACTAGACACTGCGATGCCAGAGCGGCAGGTGCCCCTCGCTCTGTGGAGCCTTTCCCCTCCTCTCACAGGGATTTCAGAGCCTCCCAAGCACTTACATAGACCCCGGTGGGGTCGAAGGAGCACTCGTGGGAGATCTGGATCAGCTTCACATTGGCGAAGGTGCACGTGGCCAGCAGGGCACGCCCTTTGTTGGCGAAGGTGAGGATAATGGAGACCGCCAGCCCCACGGAGCAGAAGAGCGAGAGCAGGGTGCTGCTTATGCTGAGGGAGAAGACTGCCCACTTCTGCGGCGAGTCAGAGAGAAACACAGCTAGTTACAGCAAGGGCGGGGGGGACACAGGCCCCGGGTCGTGCTGCAGCCACCCATCCAGGCTGTCTGCATCCCTCCCACCGCTGGCCCTTCACACAGATGCCAGGGAATTCAGTCACCACGGGACCACGTGGTCTGAGCACAGGCCTGGGAGCGCCCTGCCACTGACTCACGGTGGGGTACAGACCAACCGTATTTTAAGAGACATCCTCTGGTATCCCACCACAGCACTACAGATAAGCGGTGTCTGGTTTGTTTCATGCAGCTGCCCTTTCTTTCCTTGAAGGGTGGGTGAGTCACGCTGCACTGCACCCTGAGATGGACTCAGCCTCTGCCTCAGTTTCCCCAAAAGGAGAATCCTGAGGTTAATTTAAAAGTTTGCAAGTACTTCGGCTTCCTCCCCCTCCTCCATCCCCAACCCTCTCCTGGGGTGGGAAGGGAGCTCATCCTCCATCTCCGTCACCCCTAGACATGCATGCTACTTGTCCCCGAGCCTTCCAGCCTGTCCTGGGGTTTGACGCTCGCATGGAGCCACCAAACAGCGCAGCTCTCTCTTGCTGGGCGTGGCACGGAGCTGCAGCCGCCCTAGGCAAGTTCCCAGAATGCATTCCCAGACTCCAGTTCAAACAAGTCTTTCCCCTCTGAAGAGGGGAAACTTGCAAACAGCTGAGAGGCTCAGAGAACCCAGACAGACCCTTCCAGAGTGAAAGACGAGAGAAGCTGGAGAGAAACAGGGGCCCTTCCCCCAACAGAGCTGCCTTTGGTGGGGACAAGCTCCCGAAGCATGACAGGACTGGGGGGGATTCGGGAGCTGTCCTTACCAGAGCTGTTAGGGAAAGGTATCTGGACAGCACAATCGCAGCTATGCCACAGGAGATGGTCTGCAAAGGAAGCACAGACAGCAACTGGAGGAGATACTCTGCCAAGCCCCTCAGGCTAGAAATAACTGGTACTGAAAGCCCCAGGGACTTGGGGGCGGTCATCTTGCCCCCACAGTATTTGCTGTTTACTTCAGCTGGCTCCCCCCAAAAATCAAAACGTCCAAGCCCTCTTCTGTCGATGAAGCTGAATAGCTGCCCCATAGGAATCCAGGCACAGCCACCCTTAGCAGCCTGCCTCCAGGAAAACAGGCACGGTGGCATTCACCACAATAAGGTGCCAACTTTCAGGGCCGGCTGGGAACCATTTAAATGCTGCTGGTATTAAAACCAGAAGGAGGCACTGTTTCTCCCTGCTGTACCACCGCTCGCCTCGGAGGAGGTACAAGCAGGGAAGAGTTGGATCCAGCAGGTGCCGGAGATCGCCAGGACTCTGACCTCTTTCGAAGGCCTGGCCCATAACTGGGGCTACAGCTTGCCTTCCTGGACCAGGCTGAGCTGACATGCCGACTGCAGCGGGGCAGCCCAGGGGAGAGTCTCACCCACCCCCCCATTGTGGCGTGAGGCACGTCACTGAATATTCTGCAAGTGCCTGAAATAATAATAATAATTAGGGTTAACAATTAAACGGACTGGTGCCGGCTTGACAGCTCCCGAGGCCAGCTTGGGGGGGGGACTCAGACGGCCTTAGAAACCCCCGGCAATCGGAGACTTTTTAGGGGTAGGTGATTTTCGAGGATTGGCTTTCATTTTTGTCAAGTGCTTAATGTTGGCAAGTGTTGGAAAGGCAGCAAGTGCTCCGTACCGGGGCCCACTGCAGGAGCTTTCCCCAGTTGTTACCGAATCGGAGCTCACTGGTTCTAGAGCTTTCCTTAAAACCACCTTGGCAGCACCCAGTTTCTGGGACAGTCTCTGTCCCTAGCGGCTTCCCAGGGGCGAGCCTCTTGCAGGGGCTGCGACATTCCCATGGGAATCTGCCCAGAATGGCTCCAGCTGCCATCCAGATACTTATCTGGCCCCCATGACTGCAGGATCTGATCACTACGGAGTCCGTCATGTCTCTCTTCTCCCACCACCCCTGGGAGGTGGGCAGCGCTATTATCCTCTTGGACAGATGGGAAACTGAGGCGCAAAGCGACTAAGTGACTTGCCCGGGTCTGTGGCCCAGCAAGGAATTGAACGTGGGTCTCCCAGATCCGAGGGTAGCGCCCTACCCAATGGAGTACCCTCTCCCTTTCCGTTGGCAGCGAGACTAACAGGGACGGCTCCAGCTAGACCCGGGCCCCATCGTGCCAGTCCCTGCCCCAAGGAGCTGCCATGTAGCCTAGGTACCTTTTGGGGACCAGACTGCTCCCGCTCACACCAGAGCTGAATCTGGCCATCAGGCTTGTGGGGGGGTTTCTGTGGGTGATGCTGCAGCTAGGGCTGTCCCAGCTTCAGCATCCGCAGGGACGGAGCACCTGTGTGGGCTGCAGGAAGGGAAGAGACCGCAGCTCCCAAGCCCGGACTCGGGGGGGAAGATTGTTTTCCTGATTAAAGAAACTTTGATGCCAGATTTTGTTTTCTTAAACAGCAGCAAGAAACTGCAGGTGGGGGTGGGGAGGGGGATCTCTGGCCACACAGCTCCCAGGACCAGTCATGTCCGGCATTTAAAGCCGAGTGCTTTCCGCTGACAGCCCTACTAAGTAACTTGGGCAGCCCTGGGAGGCAGCAGAGCAAGGCTTCGTGTGGGTAAGGGAAGTGCTGTCTTTGCACCCACACTCCACTGGTCCCCTGCAGGATCTCCCATCCGTCAGCCTCTACTTCAGCAGGGGGCTTCCCACCAAACGCCTGCAGCCTGGAAAGAGACAGGCATTTCCCCCCCCTACCCACCAGCTTTAACCTGGCACGTCCCCTCCCAGATCCTAAACCACATCTTATGGCCCATCTACTCCCCTGCCTCCTAACAAGCATCCTCTACCCCCGTTATCCGTAGACTCCCCACCCCCGAGCAGAGCCAGCATGCCAGGAGAGCAGTACCAGGATGGCCGAGGTCACCGAGATGATGTTGGAGATGGCGTACTGCAGGGAGATGGCATCCTGGGGGTTTGCCACGTAGCGCAGCACTGTCCCCTGCACAAGGGCTCCAGAGATGAAACTGAGGTGGCCGATCACAATCAGGATGAGCCCCGTCTTCATGAGGAGCTTCTGGAAGCTGCTGGGATCAAGGGTGTCTGCGCAGGAGAGAAGGGAGGGGCTCAGCCCGCTGCATCTCTAGTTGGGGTCCATGATGGGCATGCACAGAACAAACACAGCCCCACAGATCCCTGCCCTAAGGACCTTACAGCCCCACTGACAGCACCGTGAGGGGTGGAGCGGGCACGGAGAAAGCCATGAGGCGCACTGATGCTGTTGTAATGCCCTATAAAAATCCCCTCCGAACTCCTGACCAGGACTCTGGAGCAGCCACAGGGCCTGTCCCAGAGAATGTGCCCCATGGGTGCCAGGATGCCAGGATCTGTCCCAGGCCCACACCCGCCAGTGGAGTCTCAGGGCTGGGACGGAAGCGCCCGGCAGCTCCACGCGGCCGACCAGCGCCTGGCCGAGCGGGGCAGCGTTCTCATGACGGCGAGTGGTTTGGACAGGGCACGGGAACAGAAGGGGAGTGGAGGGACGGGGCGAGCGGTGGGGCGAGCGGTGCTGACTGAAGAGAGGAAGGACCGGAAGGGAAGAGAACAAGGCTGTGGGGGGCTCCGGGCAGTCCAGCCCCAAGGCACAGAGCAGTGAATCTATCTACAAAGGCTTCCAGAGGGGCTCGGAGAAGCAGTGAGCAGGGGATAGGGTAGGAGAGCTGAGTGGAGCTGTACTCAGAGACTAAACGGTGCAAACCCTCACTCTACCTCAGGGGTCCTTAGCTCGGAGGGTGCGGGAGCCCCAGCCAGGCAGCCCCTCGGAGAGTCCATTCCCAGCCTCTCCCCGCAGGACGAACTGCAGGAGCACTGGTTCTCTAGGCCCATACTCCAGTCCCAGCCTCAGGAGCCCTGGCTGCTGGGGGGAGATCAGTTACTCCCGCTCCATTCTGTCCTCACGGGAGGAATGGAACGAATAGCAGGGAGCAGCGCAGGCCAGAGCAGACCCTCCTGCAGCTCCGTGCCTGGAGAAATCTATAGTTCCCATTTCCAGAGAGCTCCAGCAGGTGGATCTAAGGCCCTGGAGCACAGAGACCAAGAAAGGGACAAGGAAGTTCTGTAATCAGAAGCTTCCCACAAAACAAACAGATTTCTTTAAAGATTAACCACACATTAAACACGAAAACGCCAAGAGATCATCGCCTCCCCTCCCAACACGAAGGGGTATGAGCGGGAGGGTGCCCAGGCCCTCTCCACACTAGGGCTTACAACTCTGCAAAACAGAACTCACAACTCATGTGATCCTAGCAACCCGCCATGATCACAGGAACTGCTCTTTGGGGCAGGGCTTTCTTACTCCGATTCCAGACACAGGCTGGAGCCCCTGCTGCAAAGCCTTTCGAGATAGCTCCTGTGTGGACAGTCACTCTGCTTTCTGGAGGTGACGTTATCAGCCTCTCTACTCCCATCAGCCTCCCCACCAGGGCCAGAGCTCACAGATGGGGGATCTGGGTGACTTTGCTTCTATTCCCAGCTCAGTCAGGCCCTGGGTGGCCTTGGGCAAGTCACTTTGCCCATTCTGTGTCTTAGCTTCCCCATCTGTAGACGGAGAAGGATGCTGAAGAAGCAAGAAGTGCTACATTGTGGCCTCTGGTGACCAGCTGACAGGACTGCCCCTGGAATCCTGCAGGCACACAGGTGACACCCTGTGGTCACCCCCTCCCTGTGATCAGGATGAGATCTGGGCTTTGATCCCTGGTCTCATTTCTTGCCTTTGCAACCACACTGATCGTTTGCCACCTCGCCAGCTTTAGCTGCGGCTCCTCATTACCAAGCTCTTACAAGAAGGCTTTTGAGAAAAAAAAACCCACCACAGGATGATGCAGACAAGGCCCCACCAGTCTCCAATCCACCACTGCCCTTCCAGTCTGACCCCCGAGCCCATCCAGCAGGACAAGGGTGTGAAATTCCTATCCCTCCCTTTCACTTTGGGGAAAGTGGAAGCCACTCACCCAGCCGACACATCTTGGCAGCTCTCAGATCAGGCCATTGCTGCTTCAAAGAGGGTCCATGTTAAGGAGTCTCTGATTTCATCCCCGTGAGCAGGGAGAGGCAGGCTGAGTTCCTGGCACTCCCTGCCCCTGCCCTACCTGCGGCTCTTCCATGCACGGAGTCCCAGCTGCAGCTACCCTCCCACAACTGTTTTAAATCTGTTCTTCCTGTTTGACTAGCTCCCCAGGCCAGAACAAAGGGCTAAACTCCACCTTCCCCAGGAAAGGTGATTCAGAGCTCAAACCCCACCCACCACAGCTCCCATCTCCTGGCTGCAGTGATCTAGGTATGTAGGCCTCTCCCTGCAGATGGGCCAGACACCGCATGCTTCCTTGTGATCCTGTGGCTCCAGGTTCCTTGGCTCCCAGCCTAAAGGGGCAGTCTGCAGTGCAGTGGGATTCTGGCGCGAGGGAGCTGGGCCCCCGACATGAGTAAAGTTTTAACAGAAATCCCAACATAGGGGTTTTATACCATGCAGGCAACTTGCTACTTACACCGGGAGTTTGGCAGCTGAATGTAGGTGGGAGGCAATCTCCAGGACTCCCCAGTCTTCTTGCTTGGGGGTGTCCACCCACCCTGCTGACCTCCCCATCTTGAAGGCGGTAACACTGCACACTTCAAACTCTATCCCAGGGTGGTGATTCTATCGACATTTCTATACCAGGGTCACCATGTCATGCCTGTCCCAGCAACCCTGCACCCTACCCCTCCCCTGACTTGCACATAGGCTTTCCCCAAAAGTGTACTAAACATTCTTCAGGAAGTGCTGGCTTTAAGGCTCCCTCATGCATCTTACAGCTGAAGTCATGCTAGGGGGGGCTCTTCCATGGTTTCCTTGACTTTTATGAGCAAGGATTCAGCTCACTCCACCCTGGGGACCTACAACTGCCGCTCTCAAGCCATCCTTTCACACACTGATCACAGAAACACTGCTAGACCCACACAAGCAATAACTATGCTCGGTCCCACCATAAATCAAACCCTGATCGCACTTGTCCATCACACAGGGCTGCTGCCGGGATTCGGTGCTGGGTATTCACAGCACATCTCACCCCATGGTGCATGCAGGGCCTCTCTTGGACAAAAGCTGGGAGGGCCTCTCTGAGCTGGTCACAAGCTCAGTTGGATTGTATGTTCCATTGTCACAGCCCCAAACCACAAGGCGGTTTTGATGTATCCAGGCATCTTAGGTCACTCGCTCACTCAATGTTAAGCAGTTTTGCTGCTAATGTTCTGTGGACTTCTCCTTGCAGATGGTTAGCACAGCCCCCCCCCCAGGGATTTCAGCTCCCAGGAGAGCCTGCACACACTCATTTCACAGCAGAACCTTCCTACTCAAAAGGTTTACAGTTTCTGCAGTCTCTCGGTGCCTAGATGTGACATTGATGGGTGCACCAGAGAGATCCAGTACTTAAGAGCTGTGTGGAAAGTGGTCCCAATCAGAGCCCATGGGGAGAAGAAACCAGAAATCAAGTCTCCAAATGTAGAGTATGGGTGAAATCTTGGCCCTAAGCTGACAAAACTCCCATGAATTTAATGGGACCAGGATTTTATCCCGCGCAATCTCCATTAGAAACACAGCCAAGCTGTGAATGAAAGAACTCAGGAGGTAGTTGAATTCTTACTGAAGTGGCATAACCTATTTAAGAAGGTATTTTCAAAATCCTTCCACAGCTACAGTATTAGGCAGGTGCCACCACGTAGCCAGACAGACATTGTTAATAATTCACCTCTCAGTCTGAGCTCCAGGCCCACCTCTTGTCCTACTCAGTCATTAGAAATTTCTCCATCATTTCGTTACTACAGCCTCTCTCCTACTCCAGTGCCGCGGATGTCCAGTGCCTGCTGGGCACTCTTTCCTCCATCTGGGATGTCTTGTTACTACGTGCCTTGCGCCCTGTGTAAGGCTTTGTTCAGTTTCTCCTTCCTATGGACACTTGAGTTGCCTAACAAAGACCTCCTTACTAGGCAGCCATCCTGCACTGTATGGTCTCCTGTGGTGACAGGATGGGACACAGTGAAGGAGATGCGCACTGAGGTGAAGGACACTGCACCTCTATGGGGACAGGAGCAGTACACTGACCAACAAGGATCACTTCTGTGTGAAAGATGCCCAAACTCCACCTAACCAGCTGACAAAAGGAAAGCAGGGAGGCAAGAGTGAAAGACTCATGATTGAAGTGGTCCTCTCCCATGTCTTTTCTTCACTCGCAATTGCCAAAGTCATGCACCCAAGGCTACAAGTTCTATTGTAATCCATGCCGCCAAACATTTCACCGCCACCACTTCTGGTCTCTATGCTATTGCTGTGCAGTTACGCTTTGTGCCATCCTTGCTGCGGCCACACCCTGTTCCCAGCTCTGTATCTGCAGGTCTCCCCCCATCTCCAGCTATCGACTTCAGGGGTGAGTGAAATACTGCAGACTGTTCACACAGCCTGGGAAGCAGGGCCATATCACCCCACACAGCCTTAATCCGATTCTAGGTCTGCGGCTACTGGATAATCCAGTGGCTCCCCCACCTTGCCCTGCTTCTAAACATAGGTCCCTCTAACCCTGCTACCTGCTCTCAATCAAGGTGTTTGCCACCGCCTCTGTGCCTCTCCCATTGTGGCCAAGCCACATTCAACCACCCTCCTCACTAGGAGCAACTCTCTACAAAGATCACGAAAACAAGGTATGTTCAGAACCCCTGTGATGACAGAACAGCTGAACTAGTTGTGACTAAACGAGAATATGAAAAGTTTCCTCAGCTGAGCACAGGATCTGCACATCTGTTTTCTCTATTGCTTGTGTCAGGGTTTTGTAATCCCCACTCCTGCTTTAGGGTGTGGGCTATTATTCCCTTTCAACTATGGCAGTTGGCAGTCACTACTGCAATTCCCAGCACTCCCTGGTAGGGGGCGCTGGAGTATTACTTACAGTACTTGCTTCACCTCACCCCATTTCTCCCGCAAGTTGTCCCTGGTACATGGCTAACCTGAGTCAGCCCCAGAGCTGCAGTCTCATTCCTTAAAAAGAAAAGGAGGACTTGTGGCACCTTAGAGACTAACAAATTTATTTGAGCATGAGCTTTCGTGAGCTACAGCTCACTTCATCGGATGCATACCGTGGAAACTGCAGCAGACTTTATATACACACAGAGAATATGAAACAATACCTCCTCCCACCCCACTGTCCTGCTGGTAATAGCTTATCTAAAGTGATCATCAGGTTGGGCCATTTCCAGCACAAATCCAGGTTTCTCATCCTCTACCCCCCCCCCACCACACACCTCCTCTCCTCTCCCGCCCTCTCCCCTCTCAAGGTGGGCCTTCCCCCCCCCCCCCCCCCCCCCCCCCCCCCCCCCCCCCCCCCCCGGGGGGGGGGGGCCCCCCCAACCCCCCCCCCCCCCCCCCCCCCATGTGTGTGTGTCCCCAGGAAAAAAAAAGGGGGGGTGAGAGAGCCTGGATTTGTGCTGGAAATGGCCCACCTTGATTACCATGCACATTGTAGGGAGAGTGGTCACTTTGGATGAGCTATTACCAGCAGGAGAGTGAGTTTGTGTGTGTGGTTTTTGGAGGGGGGTGAGGGGGTGAGAGAACCTGGATTTGTGCAGGAAATGGCCCACCCTGATTATCATGCACATTGTGAAGAAAGTTGTCACTTTGGATGGGCTATTACCAGCAGGAGAGTGAGTTTGTGTGTGGGGGGGTGGAGGGTGAGAAAACCTGGATTTGTGCTGGAAATGGCCCAACTTGATGATCACTTTAGATAAGCTATTACCAGCAGGACAGTGGGGTGGGAGGAGGTATTGTTTCATGATCTCTGTGTGTATATAAAGTCTGCTGCAGTTTCCACGGTATGCATCCGATGAAGTGAGCTGTAGCTCACGAAAGCTCATGCTCAAATAAATTGGTTAGTCTCTAAGGTGCCACAAGTCCTCCTTTTCTTTTTGCGAATACAGACTAACACGGCTGCTACTCTGAAACCAGTCTCATTCCTTATTATCCTGGTCTCTGGGTCAGGCCCTTGCTCTTGATTGGGCAGCTGCTCAACCCAGTGGTGAGGAAGTCAGGAAAGGTTCCTGTTAATTTGCATCGCACTGACTGACTAATGGGCCTGTTTCAGCACTAGCTGGATTTTGTAGCACAGACAGGGACGTGCTGGGTGGATGCTGCAGTCTCCATATTGCCCTATCCAAAGTACCACCACCAAAATCTTACCTGAACCTTCCAGAAGTTCACGTCCTTCAGTCCTTGCTCTGCAGCTAGCTCCACTCACTGGGAGGGGAAAGCAGGTCCATTCTCCCAGTGACACTAGCAAGCCACCTTTGGCTCACAGCAAAGCTCAGCCAGAACAGCATTCGGCTAGTCCCACTCCAACCTCCGTTCGCTAAGTGGCCTCTTGTATTTACAAAATGCAGTGAACAGTAGCTGCCTGGCTGGCTGAGGAGGGGGAGAGAGAAGATGCAGGTTAGAGGGACAGAGCGTATAGCTGCGTTAGAACTCCACACTACTAGCAGGGAAGCACCGCCAAGCAGGACAGGAAGATGCAGAGTTGTCACTGCTTTGTCATACAGCATGCAATTGTTCTGTTCTGATTTAGATTCCTCCACAGCATTCTGGAGATGTTCACCTCCAAATGGCTCCTTCTGTCCACTGCAGCCCTATTCTTCACTCCAGAAAGCATAGGTCAGGAATAAGCTCCATAGACAGAGTTCATTAGGTACAGTGAAGAATGTGCTGGCTCAGAAATCTCATCTAGAATTAGGCCAAAGTAGCAATTCCAGAAGTCAGACAGAGGCCTCTAGAGAGCAGACAATACACACCAACCTTCCTCCCCCCAGACCCCACACTACCTAGATTCCTCAGTGACATTAGATGAAGTGACACATGGAGGGAGAATAAGGCCTCCCTGCCACAACACAGTTTCAAACCAGGAACATTTGTAACCGTAGTCACACCTGTTTGTATGGAAGCCTGAGCTACTGCAGCAATTCCACCAGCAGCTTGAGCAGAGAAACAAATGGAGAGCCACTGAGCACAGGGATTTCGCTTCTTTAGATCTGACGAGGAAGAAATGGATGTAAGTCGAATTACAACAGAAATCTTTATTAAAACAATTCTTTAGTAGTAGTTTTGCAGACACAGTATACGCACACACATACATAGGTACACTCAGACATCTTTCAGAGCGCTTGAACCAATAAATTAAAAATGAGGGTGGG